TACTACTACTACTACTAAAACAATTCAGTACACGTTATTTCATGCAAAAGTTATAGCTGTTCAAGTGAGTTGACTGTCACTTCATGCCCTGCATGTTTTTCGTACTGTGCTTGGATTTCAGGTCATCTAATTACCGTGTAATGACTCATGGGATTATAAATTTGACTTTTTGGTGATCCAGATTTGACACTTATCATGCATAAATTCTTATAATCACCTTGGCAATTCCTGCACATCAAGTGCAAGTGAAAACGTGAGAAACAAAAAAATGTGATGATCCCAGCACAGTTCTTGGCCTTAGACAGCAAGGTTCTCCTGTGAACCTTCTAGCAGTACTGAACTGGTGTGTCAGGTGTGTCACCAATCCCGACAGTTGGATAGCAATTTTTCAGAACTTTAAGAAGACGTTGTTGCTCATTGGACAGCATTTGGGAGGACTCAAATGATGAGGAATGTTACATCAACCCATTGATTGGGGATGAATTGGAACACATATGTGTTGTGGGGGGTTCAAAGGCCATCTGTACTAAATCTTATCTCTTGTGCCTGAAAATCTCTTGTGCTGGTGCTCAAATTTTAGTATGTCAAATCATATGTTCACACTGAAATAAAATTTAAACTGATGCTTGTGAGAATCAATAAAAATAGTAGCCAAAATTAATTCAAAAGGAAAAGAATCTGCTGGTGAATATAAAATGGTGTTGAAACCTAAAATGCATGAATCTCACTGGATCAGTTGAGATAACAAAACATTGTAAAGTTAATTGAAATATACCAAAATATGATTAAAAAACTTGTACCACGGGATTCTAATGTAAAATAACTACCAGACAAAAGGATTGGGAATCATTCCAATTCTGGACAGTATCTACTACTAGCTAGTAGTAAAATTAGAAACAGATGACAGTCAAGTAAAATGATACACTGCTGACCTTTAGTCTGAGAAAAGGGTTTTTCTCCTCAAGAAATCATTACCCATGATGAACCAATACTGGGAGACAGAAGAGTGAGCTTGATTCTTTGACATTTTTTGCTGTTTGATGATTGATGCTGTTTTAAGATTCAATTTGAAGCCCAGAAGTGTCTTATTTGTTGCTGGTGACACTCCATTTGTTGAGCACACCAGAAGTGTTACATTTGTTGCTGGTGTCACAAAATTTGTTAAGACATTGCTGATTGGGGTCAAGGTAGATGGAATTGAATCATATCCAACTGTATTAAAATCCCCTTGTACTATACTGTCACATAAAAATTCACCAAGTGAACTACTCAATTAGTAGTTGGAAATTCATATTGTCCAGTAGCACAGCATTCACAACTTTCAGTATGTTTTTTTGGTCAAAATAGTCATTACACAGGAAGAAGGGACCAAAAGGTACATTGCATTTACCTTCTAGTGGTAGTAGTCACTCTTCCCATGAAACCTACATCTGATCAACTACTAGTACTACTACTAGTAGTATCCCATGATCTGAATGAGGTGGAGGTAGATTTCTACTGGTGATCACATCTGAATTTGATGCTTGCTTCTTATTGATGGGAATAAAAATAATAGTAGTAGTAACACTGGAGAGTGTCACACAAGATTTGCTGGTCCTCTTTGCCTCATACTTCAAAAAGAAACGTCACAAACAGCCTGCAGTACCAGATACTTCTTTAGCTCCTTCAGTCACTCCTTCCAGACAACTTCAAACCACACTGGCACAATTCTTTCAAACCAGTAAAGCCAAAGAAATACTATGTATTTACCTGCTGGTCATATCTCCACGACCAATCCTAGGAGGGAGGCCCTGCCCCTCTGGGCACAGTTGTATTTTGTAGTAGCTTATTTGATGGAAAAATTATTCCTGCTTGCAATTGCCCTTTGTGAGTTTCCAAACAACTTCAGAAATTTAATCCTGTTTTGCACTATTGCCAGTAGATCTACAAGAAGAGCTGCTGGTAGGCGGGCAGCAGGGCAAAAGAAGAATCATCGTGCACAGAAGAATTTGATAGTATTAATTGTTGCAAGAAATCATAAAGGAATTCTCAACTGCAATTCAAGCAAACAATTGACTTTCTTGTCAAGAAAGGGGATTACTAATACCACTGCAACTAGGACAACTACCAAAATCATATCACTGGAGTCAAATTGTTTTTGGTTGTGCCTCCAACCCAATTCATTGGAAGGAGAGGCACTCTCCCTTTGAGTAACTAGGATAATTCTTCTTAGAAGTTATGGTGCTGGCCACCCTTCTAGTTCACAACAAGGTTAAATTGCATGGTATCTAGAACATGTTTACTGTAAAGAAGTTATTAAGGGAAGTAACACATGCCACCATATAATTACAGAATATTAGTAGTACTACTAGTGGTAGTATGACTAGTGGTAGTATGACTAGTGTCGTAGTACAGTACTAGTAGTAGTGCTACTGGTTGAAGAAACAACTGTAGTCTGCTCTACTTCTCACCATGATTTTGTTTTATCTTCCATCTCACCAATAGCTGAGAGGAGATGAGCCCATTATGTGGGCTTGCACCATCTCCTATTTCTTGTAAGCTGAGCCAGAATTTTCAAGGTCTCCAGTATGAAATACAAAATAGCCTGTCTTCTTTTCATACTCTATGATTGATTCTTGCAAGGTGTGGAAACATAACCACCACCAAAGTGATACTAAAATTGGTTGTGATTCAAATTGAATGCTTGAAAAAATAAAAAATGGGTAATACTAGTAGGTTGATCATACAGCACATGGTCACCTTTTTTTACCATATAAATTGGGTTGCAACAGGGAATGTGACAGATTTGTTACAATAGGGGTTTGCTACAGGTTGTGATCAGTTTTTGTGAAGTACTGAGAAGAAGAGCAAGAAAAATTGCATCTGCTAAAACTTCCCTGAAAACTCTTTTTTGCTCTACATTTTACCCTGAGGGGAGCCACATTTTTGGCTCTTTGGAGGTTGTAAAAAATAAGAACGTGTGAAAAGAAAAATTGTGCACACTTTCAAATTGGTGTGTGCTGAGCAGTTCCTCAGGCAACATACTAGTACAACAAGAGTAATCAGCACATGTAGTAGGTTTACAGGTTGAAATTGGTTGATTTGTTCTCTCATTTTAAGTTCTTTTAGTATTTTCCTATAAAATCCTTTGTGGTGCTTTACAGCAGCACATCTACAATACTTAGCAGTAGTATTACTTTCTTGTTCCAAGAATACAAGCATTGATTCTTCTGGTGGGTACACAACAAAACCCTAACCCCAACATATTATTGATTCAGAAAAAATTGACGTACGGAAATTGCCAATAATTTGCCGTTATGGGGCCCGTACTTAGTAGCTCTAGTTACTATATATCGTCCCTGCTGGGAGAGCACGTGATAGAGGGAAATGATAGCTAAGCCTCAACGACTTGAGCGAAAACTCTGCGACGAGAAAGACATTCGACGAAATCACTTTTAGAAACAAAGAAAGGAACAACCTTCTCAAATAATAGTTTCAATCGAACTACAAGAAAAAGTGCAGAATCAATATTTTTATTCAAAGTGTATAGATGTAGATTTCATTTTGTTGAGGTTGCAACCGTCGTTGAGTTGTAGCCATCTAGTGATTCGTCGTCGGAAGGAATTCCCTTTACACCCCGCCGATGCCTCAGTTCGTTCCTCTGTTTCTTAAATTGGGAAATGTATTCAGGGTTCACAGAATCGTCACCACTCGCCAAAATCAAACCGCCGTGGTACGATGTATCTAGCCCAACAATTTCTTCCAGCGGATCCGATCGAAACCATCCTTTCCAGTCCAACCACACAAAGAATGGCATCATGATCAACAAGCACCATGATAGAATGAAGAGAATGCCAACTATCTGAGCTGCTAGCAACCGAGCATCTCCGTTACCTCTTGCCAAGGAATAAAACCACCCTACATGTTCTATTGTTGTCCCGTACGCCATATTTAAGTATCTAGGGGATGCGACAAGTCCAACGGCAACAAGGCCCCACATGCCATTAATCATGTGGACGGGGATTGCGTCAACTGCATCGTCTAGTCGAAGTCTCTCTAACAGGCTACTGCCAGCAATGTATAGCAGACCCGAAACGCTCCCGATGAATACAGCAGCCCACGGTTCGACTGATTCGAGAAAAAATAGATGAATTAGGAAAATATATTCAATTACTTTGTAATGAGCTCCCCTTCCAACAGAAAGAACACGTTCAATCGTAATGCAACAACTCACCAACCCCACATCCTGCCGTTATAGCAACCAATCCACTTAAACTTCCATTCATTGCCATTCTCAAATCGAAAATTGGCTCACCCAACCTTCGCTCGAGAATAAATAGGTTGGTGAACAAAGCCACCAATCCACTCATTCCACCGGAAAGAGTTGTATTGACTCCCGAAAGAGATACCAATTGTCCATGGTTGACGGAGGTTGAAATAAGAGCACTTCCCGAATTGAATCCATACCATCCAAACCATAATACAAATGTACCAAGCATCTGCACAACCATTAATTTAAAGAAAAAGGTTATTGCGATGCGTTGTCGTTTCATGACGAATTGTAGAGATGTAATTTAAAAAGACTGTGTCAGAATTCCCCGTCGCACTTTAGAGCCAACAAATATGGCACGCAACGCCATGGTTCATACCTGCAGCGCTATGGAATGTCCAGGAAATTTGTTTGGTTTGTCTAGCTTTCGCCCTTCATCATCGTGGAAGCGTCCCCGCCGAGGTCCCAGTATCATGGTTGCAAAGAGTGCAGTACATCCTCCTACTAGATGGACGACACCACCTCCGGCGAAATCTACGACACCACTGCCGAATAATTTATTTTCTTTTGCCTTGTTCGATGTCAAGAATCCGTGTGGGCTCCAAATCGCATGGGAGACAACTGGATAAACAAAACCCGCTAGGAGCAACGAGTAGCAAAGATAGGCGGTCATTTGGCACCGTTCGGCAAGCGTTCCGGCAACTATGGTGGCCGACGCTGCAGAAAAGGCATATTCGAACATCCAAAAGGCGTAATCGTCGACGTCTATGAGGAAAAAATTAGTGGTCCCAATGAACACATTAGGATTGCTCCCGTCTCCGAAAGCAAATGCGTACCCGAAGGAATAGTATGCAATCGCAGCGCCGCACTAGATTTTGAACCGAAAGCAAAGTTAGGAGAGAGATATTTTTCTGCCAGAAGCATGTACGAGTGCCATCGTACATCTAAACGCAAACCGACGATTTATTTCGTGAACTCACCACGTCCAGCAGATTCTTCAGCATGCTATTTCCTACATTTTTCTTTCGGACACAGCCCGCGCAAATCATGGCGAATCCCGCTTGCATGAAGAACACCAGAGCGGCGCTGTACACCAAGAAGATTCGGCTGGTATAGTTCTCATCTTTTTGGTCTCTCTTTACCAGTTTGCTGATGATACATTTCCATTTGGCATCTTCATCTTCATCTCCATTTCCTGAACCTTGGCAATCGGAATATATCTCATCTGGATCCATCAATGTTGTCATGATGGGATGGAAGTATTGGAATGATCGCTTTTTTGCTTCCCGAGAATTCAAAGGAACTGGCCCTGAATAACAACTCTTTTTATTGATGTTAGATGCTTCGCAACATAAATTTGTGATGTTCGTCGACGAAGACAGCTTCAAAAGTCATATGCTAATCCTCGAAGAATGATTATTTGGACCACAAGTTCCGTTGGAAAAGCGAACATTTTGCAGAATTCGCCTAATTTCGAAATCCTTTTTGAGAAAATCTACCGTATGTCTTCGTTTCGTCCCCAAGAAAAATAATTATTGTTCTGACTACTGACTACTGACTACACGCACGTACGATACTACGGTTTTGCGGGATACTGTAACACTTTTTACGTAGCGCTTCAATTAGAGGAATCAGGTCCAATTTTTTTCGTGACAATACCATATTGGACTTGTGGGTGGCTTATCAAATTTGAATATTACAGTGAGATAGCGCGATTCTTTGTGCATTTTCAAGAGAGGAATATTTTGACAACGGAATAGTATTAGATCCAAATGTGCGAAGTAAAACGCTTTTAAGTATCATTTTAATTCGAATGAAGCTACCGGTACCGTACATTTTTATGCTAAATCACATTTTGCTGCTTATTAGCGCGCCCTTATGGTCCAAACGAAGAAAAGCACGTGTGTCTACAAGAAGTAAAGTACGTAGTACGGTAAGTACGTTGGTACGATTACAAGTCCGTTTACGACGCAATATCATCAGTACTTCAATGTACCTATCGTACGTACGGTACCGTAGTAGTAAAAACTGGACACAAAATCACACAGCTGACTTGTGCTGCAGTTCAAACACAAGCAACGAATTGGACGACTCACAGACTTCGTATCATTCGTACTAATTGCCGACGGTAGGAGTACGTACGTAGTAGTACGCCGTCCCAATCACATCACGACCATCAAATTTCTACTTTATGTTTTATGTGAACCTCTGTCAGCTTTGAGACGTGCACAGCAATAAACGAATGAAAATCATGAAGACGCCGAACTAAAATACTTCTACTGGTACCAGTACTTGTACTTCGTAATTCTGCGGTAAGGGACTGTACAACGACAGCCAAATACATAAAGCGCTTTGCCTGACGATGACAGGGAAATGACAAATTGAACTTGAATTTCTATCTTCATCCCTCTTGCTGAGACTTAGCTTAGCATTGCTTTGTACTCATTGTAATCGATTGGAACCAATCATTTCAATTTCGATTAGGTGASGGAGCTGTGTCGTTTGTGTCATTCGCACAACTTCGACTTTCAAGTTCAAAAGAACGAACCGGCAAAGGAAATGGCAAGAACATTTCGTCGGCAGCTATCGAAACTGATATATTCCGTTATCAGTATTTCCTGTGGGGCTCTCCTGTTACTCATAAATCCAGTCCTAGCTTGGCAACCTGTCGAGAAGAACCCTCTTTCGTCGTTGATATCTTCTCGACGTCAAGAAGCCCCGAAACTCATACAATTTCGCAATTACTTATCTGCTGCAACTGGAATAAAAACTGGATCTATTTTATCTCCCGTAGTCTGGGCGTTGCAAGAGGATTTCAGGCCTGAAGAAAACATGTTCGCAACCAATAACGCAGTAGCTTTAGCAGCAGGAATTAGTACGATCGCTGTCACAATTTCCATATTTTCATGGATGGAAATGCAAAGAATCCAGAATGAGTTGGACTTGCTGAAAGAAAAAAGAAATACCGTCGACAAACAGAACCAAGATTCAAGAGAAAATAAAATCCACGATTCTAATGGTGCGAGAGGCAAGAATGGCGAATCTATTTCGTATGGACAAGAGTCGAAAACAGGAGAAAAATCCCATAAACCGAATGAAAGACAAACTCAACAACCGGAGGAGGATCAGAATGACCTTTCTGTGATGCGAATTGGAGTTATTCGATCCATATACAGGCTTTGCGTGGGTACGCCTCGCCAGGGGCTACTCGCTCCTGATGCTCGAGGACGAATTGAATTGGACAAGATTGGCAACTCATCGACAGCAGCAACAGTGAGTGGCTTGGAGGAATTTTCTTACATTTGGGTCCTCTTTCACTTCCATCTCAACACACAATCTGCCAAGAAAGCCCGACGCTTTAAGTCGAAGATCTCTCCTCCTGCAATGGGCGGTAAAAAAGTTGGAATCTACGCCACCAGATCACCTCATAGGCACAACCCCATTGGCATTACTTTGTGCAAACTCGATCGCATACAAGAGTACGGACCACACAAAGTGACACTTCACGTGAGTGGCCTTGATCTTGTCGACGGAACGCCCGTCCTAGACATCAAGCCTTACGTTCCTGTATACGATTCCGTGAATGCAGTAGCTCAGGCTACTTTGTCACCCTCACCACCAGAAGTGCAAATAGAATCATCGATATCTTCGTCACAAACACCAAACGGCTCTTCTAGTATGTCCCCTGCGTTTGGAGATCTTCCACTCCCACCACCTCGAGTTCCCGAATGGGTGCAGGGAGGACTGGCAACTAAACGCAATGTTGTTATTACGAAAACCGCAAAGAATGAACTGGAAGAAATACTACAGCACAATCCCAAAGCACTAGATTTTTATGGTTCGCATTGCTATTGCGATAGCGACGGAAAGGGCGATAGCACAGCTGCAACGATGTTGCGAGTAATAGAGCAAGTCCTTAGCATTGATGTTCGCAGCTCCCACCAAACACGGAAGGCCCGTACCGGTCGTTCCCAGGCCGAACGAGCAGCACGCGTTCGATCGACTTTTGACGTAGAGTCGACCGTGGCTTCGAACAATGATAGTGCAGAAACGAAACGGGACGAAATGGAACAAATCACGACACAAGATGCTGTCGAAGAATTGCAGGAAAGGAAAATGTGTACGCAGCAACTCGATAATCTTTTGATATACTTTACTATACAAGAAGTTGCGGTGAAAAGGGACTCGTCGCATGGGAGTGGGTGAGTTTCAAGAGTGACAGTCTTGTTGCTTTCAGTCTTTGTTATATTTTTCTGCAATATTTCTCATCTTTTGTTCTTCTTCGTCGATGTGAATCTCCACGGTTGTGATGATTAGGGCCGAAGACGGAATTACCGTCGAAAGAATAAAACTACTTTCCAACGCAGAAAAGCAAAAACGAGCTCGCAAATGATTGTTGCGGACTGTATGGCATTTAGTGAATTGGGAGTAGAAGGATGCAAGAATTGGCATATCTGAACGTATGCTATCTTGTAGTACGAGCACGATTAAAAAACTTCACGCATTGTTTTATCAAGGAGCAACGTTTATACTACTTTACAGTGTTCTGGTATAATATAATATCGGACCGTAGTCGTCACAAGTGATCATCCAGGAGAGAGACAAAAAAACAAGCTTATTCTTCCTCGCCATTAAATTTCGTTTGCACAAATTTCGCTTGCGTCTTGTCAAACTTTTTGACCTTGGTGTTTGCCATGAAGGCCTGGAACAAAAAGAAGGCAAAACCGGCGTATCCGGCTCCGGACACTAGTTGTTTTGACGCAAATCCAGCCACGTTCAAAAGCATTGTAGCAAGCAACACGTTTTCGGTTCGTTCTTGTGTTAGGGCCATGCGCTCCAGTGCCTTCTCGTTTTCTAGCGATCGGACCCGAATCTTGAGCGTGCCCTCCTCCATAGACCGGAGTGTTTCTTCGATGTATGCAACCTTTTTCGGTGACGTAACAGCAGTTTCGATGTCCTTTGTGTTGAGACCGGTAGCCTTCTGGAAGATGGAGAATTGCTTTTGCGTTTCGTTTTCGTATCCTTTTTGCGTTTCGGTGAACTTTTCAATGAAGGGCTGGGCCAATTTACCAATGTCATACTTCTCGTCGAGTCCTTTTCCGATACCTTCCACGGAAGCGAAGGCTCGGAAAATGAACGTGAATGTACTGGGGAATCGGAAGGAATCGTTTTCGGTCAAGGTCTGAAGATCCACACCGAGGGTTTCCTTGATATTGCCCGACGACTTTCCGAGTTGGTTATTTTTGAACGCCCTCATGAAATAACGCGCCAACTTTTCGACCGCCAACCGATCGGATCCACGCGCGAGAACACCGGCTTCTTCTACACCATCGATCAATTGCTTGGCATTTTTGGCCAGAGTAGCATCGTTCACCATCGGACCTCCGGCAAACAGTGCCGTGCAAAATTTACGGAATCCTTCCCGAACGTTCGGTTTGAGTTCGTCCATCATACCAAAATCGTAGTAGACCAAGTTTCCTTTCTCGTCAACGCACAAGTTACCGGGGTGGGGATCACAATCTATTGGTTTCACGGAAGTTCGACAAGCATTGAAACAAAAGACAAGCAAAAAAAACAGAATCAGATTTTTCTACTGGCGTTGATGGTTCGAACGAAAAGCGTTCCGACGGGAAACCAATGGCAACTACAAGTACACTACAAAACAGGAATCGTTCGATTACTCACGGAAATAAGACGTTTCCACGATTTGTCGCAGAAAGGCGTCGGCGGTTCGCTTCGCGAGCAACTCCCGATCGAGGCCAAGAGACTCGATTTTCTCAATGTCGGTCAGTTTGAGGGATTCCACGAATTCCATCGTCAGCACACGGGGCGTCGAAAGGTCCCGGTAGAATTCTGGAACACGAACGTAGTCAATGTTCTTAAAGTCCTTGGCGAATCTTTCCCCGTTGTCGGCTTCGTTGAGGTAATCGATCTCGAGGTACAACAGGCGTTCCGACTCTTCGTAGATGCTGACCCAGTCCCGATCCGCGCCGTCGGACTTTGGATCAAACTTGTCAAGGAGCACGGCGAGTTTTCGAAGGTTTTTCAGATCGACGTCGAAGAGCTCCTTGAGGCCAGCTCGCTGGACCTTGATGGCGACCTTCTTTCCCTTGTAATAGGCGGTGTGCACCTGTCCCAGACTGGCGGCCTTGAGCGGAGTTTCGGAAAAGTCGGTAAAGATCTCGTCCGTGGGCGCGCCGAGTTCCTTGGCGATGATTTCCTTCGCCCGGGCTCCCGAAAAGGGCGGAACATCGTCCTGGAGTGTCTTGAGGACGTCCGTGAAGGTTTTGGGCAAGACGTCGGTACGGGTCGAAACAACCTGTCCGAGCTTGACAAAGGTTGGTCCGAGCTTGAGCAGGCCGTCGCGAATAAAGGTGGCGGCATCGATCTGTGCCTGCTTGATTTCTTCCTCCGAGGCTCCCTTCTTTTTCATCGATCGCGGCTTGAGGGATCGGAAGACGCACTTGAGCGCGAACTTCCACACCTCGGCGTTTCGTCGGAGGGCAGAGGATTCTCCTCGCTTGAACCAACCCTCTTCCAGCATGTCTCCGTCGATTTCTTCTTCCTCTTCTTCCTCGTCGAAAGCCTTGTCTCCCTTGGAAATGCCTCGCAGGGACTGCAGGGTGTTGCTGATGCGGTTCTTGAGGCCGGCACGGAATCCCGCGGCTTGTTCCTCATCGGCGCAGAGGGGGTCTACCGGCCCCAGGGTTTCTTCGTCGATCTGGCATTCTTCCTCCACGATTTCGGCGACGATCTTTTCGGATTCGATCTCGATGTCGCTCATCAGTTTCTCGACCTCGTCCGCGTCTGCGACGGACCCGTTGAGAAGGACGACCGACTCGGCGGTGGATTCGTCCTCGGCCTCGACGGGAGCCGGTTCCTGGGCGGCAGAAGCGGTGCTTTCGCTGGCGACACCGAGTCCGTCGGCGTCCTCCAGGAGGACTCCGTCGTTCTTCTTGTCGTCGCTGCCGTCGCTTCGCACGTTTTCCCCGCTGCTGTTTTGTTTCAGCCGCGTCGCCAGGAGCCGTCGCTGGAAGTTTTCGGCGTCGCGCTCCTGTGTCGACGCCTTGAGGAGCGAGGAGGTTCCGTGCGCTTGGGGATTCAGGACACTGGTGAAGGCCTCGGTGCTCTGTAGCTGGCTCGTGGTTACGGCCAGGACCACAGCTATGGCCAGGGAAGAGAACTTCATGATGGAAAGAAACGGAACGAAATGAAATGAAATGAATTGGATGGACCGGTGCTGTGCTTCTATTACTGGTGCTCCCGGGATCGCAAAAACACGTTCCAAAGTATCCAGGTATGCGGGCGGTGGGAGTGATCGGCAGAGATGACTAACCGATTCTTCTTGTCGAAGTCCGATTGATCGATCGCGGAGAGAAACGAGTTGTGATAGAGGGGCTCGTCGAAATCCAACTTTTATTCTCTGGAACCGCGCCCTTTCAGCCCACTCGTTTTTTCCGAGGCAGGCTCGACTTCAACCAGGCGAAAAAAAGGCAAAAAGCGTGGGTATGGTACGAGAACAGTGCAGTCAGTAGTTCGAGTATCGTGCGTTCTCCTGGTACGTACCGTACTACCGCTAGCTAGCATCTGTTTTGTTTGGGTTCTGAATTCTGAACCCCATTGAAGAGATTTTCGAAGATACCTTGTACTTTGCTTTCATTTCATTTGCTCGTTTTCTCACAGGGGCGCTGTCGTCATCCATTTTTGGGTCTGCGTCACTCGCTTTTCCAGACATGGATGCGAGGCACTAAAACCAAAAGCCGAACCCGTCACTAAAAACCAAAACACACGGCAGTAATGCTATTTGTGCGAGTTAGAGGTTGCTGGTAATAACAGTACGTACGTACTTTACGTACCTGTACTGGTCATTAGAAGTAATACAAGACAAGTTTCCTAAGTACGGACAGAGTTCCAAGTCAATCATCGAACGTTATATTTTCGACCCTGTAGTCGTTTTAGTCGATCAAATTAGGATGCAGGCGCGGTGCGATAATCGTCGTACCGGTATGAGAAATGAGAACCCATTTTTAGCTTCATAGAAATTAATGCACTACAACTGGTGCAGTACCGTATGTACGTACCGTACATACTCGTACTTCAAAATTCTGTGATCTGAAACAACATTTTGACAGTCTGTGGGTGGAATGTCATCGAATGCAAAATGCTAACAAAATGGGCGGCGCAACTATGAAGAAAGTAGCAGATCAGGTTGACACAATGGACCTGCCGGAAGCACAGAGTCAAATAGTACTGGCGTCTTGTCTTTGTTCTTGGCTCTCTTTTCATTGTAGGCATGATCTGGGGTGAGGATTTCAGAACTTGGCAGACGAAAGGGGCTAAAAGTGGGAATTGAGATAAAATAGTAATGTACAGTATGGACGCGCTGAGAAGATTGTGTTGTTCCTACAATGACTTCTAGTACTATTATTATGAGCACTCGCAGTACTAATGCTAAAAATCAGAGTACAAAACAGTTCCGGACGGCCTCAGGTCGATCGGTTGCCGTTGTGTGGGTGTATTTTTTTCAATGAGTCCACGGCATCCAATGTCAATCGTGACTTGTGCAGGCCTTTGTGACTTGCTTCCTCTACACCGCCACGCACCAGCAGCCGTTCACGGCTTCCCGCCAGGCCCCCCCCCTCGATGCAGGCAGGAAAGACCAAAGGCGACCACCGCCACTCCCACGGAAGCCACGTACTTCAGCCACCAGGGATTCCGCCGAACGGACACGATCAGCTCGTTGTTTCCCTGCATGCAATCCTTCGAGGCGGCGACGATCCGGTCGAAGCTCTCGTCGTTGTCGTTGTCGTTGTCCTTCCCGGCCCCGTCGTTGCCGCCGCTGCCACTCTCGCAAGGAACCGCCAGGCCGTCCCACAGCGCGACGAACCTCTTCTTGCGCTCCCCGCGGCCGGGCCCGGTGACCGGGCCGAACAAGTGGCAGGCCCCTTTCCCGCACAGGGACTCCACCCGGGGCCCGGCCGCCGCACCCCCCCCGATGACGAGGGCCCCCCACAGGCAAAAGGCGGCCCCGGCCAGCTCGGCGCCGCTCGCCATGTCCTCGATGGCCCGGAGGTAGGCCCCCGCGCCGTCCGTGGCGCCCGCGGCGACGGCCTCCACGGCGGCCCTCCAGCCCCTTCCGTACAGGTGCAAGAGGTCCCGCTCGTACAGCGGGCCGAACCGGTAGCCGAGCGACAGAAGCTTTCCGCAGATCTCGTCCCCCTCTGTTTCGTGCAGGGCGGCGATCTTTTTCTCCAGGGCGTCCGTGGCGAGGTAGAACAGGGCGATCGCCTCGCGGTAGACCTTCCGGTCCGTGAAGAGGCCGGACAGAACGAGGGCGGCCCGCAGGCGGTTGGCCGAAACGTGGGCGGACCGGATGGACGCCATGCAGGCCCGGAAGAGACCCTTCTCCGCGCCCTTTTCGGTGGTCTTGTCGAAGGCCAGGGCTTGCTGGGCCTCGGTGGGATCGGCGGCGTGGGGGACGGCGTCGTCCGCTGCAGCGGCTGCCGGCGGCGGTTGCATTGTTGTTGTCGGAGGCAGAAGAACGGAAACCACCACGAAGCTCGGCGTTGTTCCCGCCAACGAAAACAGGCAACGAAATCGTTCCAACCACGCTCTGGCCAGAACCAAAACCCGCTTTCTCGCAGCCTCTCCCTGCTGTTTGCTTTTGCTTTCCAATGCAGCCAGTGGACGATGGCCCAAACGCAATCATGCAGGCATTGCCATGGAAAGATTTGCACTACCTTACCGCTCGAGTCGTTTCAAAAACAGAAAGACGAAAAAGAACCTCAGTGATTAGCGTGAGTCAGTCTTGGATGGGGAGAAGTAGCTCATTCTGAAAAGGGGGATGGTAGCATTTGTACGGTATCGTACGCCGTAGCAGGCAGAGAATACCAACCAGGGTGCCACGGTCCGTAGACCGTACCGTACAGTACCAAGTACCTTACCATACAGTACACCTCATAATATGTCGTATGGATCGTACGGTACGTACCGTACGGTACGTAGTCTTGAACCGATTCGGAGCAAGACTGAACTAGTCTTGCTATATTCCACGACAGCGCAGCTATATTTTTAGGATGTCAGAACTTCGTTGAACGGACAATTCTTTGGGCCACAACCGAGACATCAGAATGTCGGCGACCGAAAAACACTTAGGTACCGCACCCGTACGAGGCGTAATAATCGTCCGCTGGGACAGTCATAATCATAAACCTCTCATGCCGTGTACCGGGCCATAAAAAATAAAAAGCAGGAGTGCGCGTGGCGTTTTTGGGCATTCCGCTGCACGGAAACAAGATCTTCGTCAAAACGAAGCAAACCACCCCGAACACCTTGCTGTTGTGGCATCCTTCCAAACGCAAAACGATGAGGAAAATGAACAGCGACGACGACGACCACCAGATCTCTCCGACCCATACACCGGGACCAACGATGGACGCCGAAAAGGACACAAACATCCGGAGCGAGAGGCCGGGAATGCGGCGAACCAACGCCTCGAAGCCCCTGACGCACATCCACTTCGATAGCTCGGACGACGTTGTCGCAACGATCGACATGCCAAGGGAAGAATTCACGGAGCGGTGGTATACCAATTCGGAGTACTACGTGTTCCGGAGGGAGGCGACGAGGGCGTGCAAGAAACGCCAGCGGGTGAAACAGAAGGACAAGCTCAAAGACGACAACGTGTCCTGCTACACCGGCCTGGACATGGTGTGCGACGAGGCACTGGAAGCCCGGAAGCTCCTGGTCGAGAAAGCCCTGGACACGGTCCTCCGGACGCAGGAGGTCCACGGCAAAACCGATGGTCCGAGCGCCAGAACGAGCGGCGAAAGCCACGGAAGCAACCGCCGCAGCAACAACGACAACGACAACGACATCAACAACGACAACGAGGGCCGGCCACCGGAAACCAAGCCCCCCATGGACGAGGCAATCGCGCGGAAGTACATCGAGATCAGCTGCGACACCAAGGCAAGAGCCCTCAAGGCCGCCAAGGTCAACGAGAACGAGGCGAAAGAATACTGCCGGGCCCTGCGCGCCGACCTKGTCGACATTGGCGTCATTGCCAGAACGAAGACAACCTCCCTGGATCTGTCGCGTGCACTGCACCGGCTTCTCCGCTTGAAATCCGAGTGAGGGCTTTGTTCCAAACCAAACGGGGACGCGGCCACAGGCGTCGGCGAACGCGGCACGGCGCGTTCGATCCGACTATGGATCCCGCGCTACACTACTTTACTCTATTTGATTTACAAAAACCATTAGCTAGATACAGTAATTGAAAAAGTAGCACGCCGTATTCCAAAATCATATGCCGTCCGACAAAAAGGTTTGGTTCATCATCTGATTCATTTCGACGCTTGGTTGTTCCGTCACGTCGACGAAACTCCCGATGATCTTGACCGGGACACCGACCGCAACCGAGTGCGGGGGGAGGTCGGTGATGACGAGGCCCCCGGCACCGACCTGGCATCCGTCCCCGATCTTGACGTTCCCCAGCACACTCGCTCCGGCACCGAGCAACACCCCGTCTCCCACCTGATCCATCGCCATGCGGGTTGTCGCGGAACAACGTGTCTGTGAGAGAAAAAAAGTCGCGATCCGTTCACTTTCCATCGAAAAAAAAACAGTGCGGCGCTGTCTCACCTTTGGATGCCGGTCGACACCTTTCTTCCCCGATCCTCCGAGTGTCACGTGGTGCAAAATCGAACAGTTGTGGCCGAGGTGGGCCGTTTCGCCTATGACGATGCCTAAGCGGATGCGCGCAAAGAAACGGAAAAGGAGAGGAGCAGTCTCGTTGCGTTTAGAGTCAATTTCGAACACGACAATCACAATCTAAGAATTGCTATAGAACTGCTCTTACCAGTCCCATGGTCCAGCATGATTCCACTACCTGTGTACACGCAATTAAAATAGAGAGATATGAGGATTGCAATAGTGTTCTCCTTGAAATACCATTGTTTTGCATCGATGCGGTTTTCGCGATAGTCACAAGATTGTATAAAACACCACGTAGCAATCGCGCTCTACCACAAAAATTCTGCTTACCCAGCGTCGCGTTTGGGTGGATGTCGATCTGAAAGGTTTGCGACATTTGCGATTGGAGGTAGTGCGCCAGCACCTGCTTGTTGTCGGTCTTCCAAATGGCGTTGGCAACCCGATAGGTTTGCAGCGCATGGAATCCCTTGAAGTACAAAAACACGTCCGGGAGGCACGTGCAGGCGGGGTCCCGGTCTCGCACGGCCTGTGGTCACAAGAATCGGGGTCAGTGCATAACACCCAGAAAAAAGAACACGAACCGGGAGAACGCACACGCCAAAACTGCATCGGTTCGAACGACAAAACCAGGTCCAGCAGGCAGACGCAGACGCAAAAGCAAACAAACAAACACCGCGCTCACCATGATGTCGGCACGGATGGCCCGCCCGATGGAGGGATCCTTGTCCAGTGCACCGAGGATCAGGGACTGAACCTGCGTGGAAATCATCGCCGCGCTCGACAGCTTGTTCGCCAGCAAAAAGGCCAGGCTCGATTCGAGGCTGTCGTGGTTCAGAATGGACGAGTACAGAAAACTGACCAGGAGGGGTTCCCGCTGGGCTTCCTGGTAGGCCTCCCAGCGCATCAGGTCCCAGACGACGTCCCTGGAGGTTTCGGGGTCGTACACCGAAGGGGGAATCGACAGATCGATGTTGGGATAGAAGAGTTCCGGCCTTCGGAACGGGCCCTCCGCCTCGTCGCTGCTCTGTCGACTGTTATAGCCCCCGGGGGCCGTGGTGTTTGTTGTCGTCGCCGGCGGTGGTCCGGTTTTCTTCGAGTAGTGTTCTTCGTGCCACATGGCGTTTCGCAGTTGGCCAGCCTGATCCGTGCGGGCAACCATCTTTCTCACCCGTTTCGGTTCGCTGCTGCCGTCCTTCGCGGAGTAGGACTGCTTTTTCGATGTGCTGTTCGACTGGCTTTTTTCGAGGGGTTTGCTGTTGGGAGTTTCCGGAACGTTCCATTGCAGTTCATTGGGATCGATCTCGTCGCCGTTGTCGATCCCCGACGACCCAAAAGGGAGGTTCTTTCCAACGCCCAGATTGTACGTGGACGCTTTCCGCCGGGCCTTCTCTTCGTCGTTGTTTTTTTCTTCGCTCTTGTTCGTTGTTGGTTCTGCATTGAGCGTGAAACGATGTCTTCTTTGTTGTAGCCTCCACGGGGACGGCGTGGTCAAAGGATTGTGAGAGACCAAATTCGTCCGCCCTCCGTACACGCTCGTGATTCCAGCCGAATCTTGTGGGTGCTGTTGCGTTGCAAACGACGAGACCCGTACTACCTGCACATGCAGCAGCAAAAGAAAAACATTCAACGGATCCATGGCTGTTGTTTCCTTCGTTTGGTAGGTATGGCAACAAACGGAACCAAGTCTCGAAAAAGAATACGGGGCGTCGAGAAGTCAGTTGACAAGAATCGGTCTATCGAAAGGGAAGGGTGATCCATTCACCGAGGCAAAATTCGAGTTATGAGGGACCAGACGGCGATGGGTAGAAGAAACTGCTTTTCAAGGAGTTTTTTGTTTGTGTTTTGAATTGGTTTGTTCTGAAGGAACTGTTCGCAATCCTTCCCGATCCTACCCTTAGGGTTCGTACTCGTACTCGTATCCTAACTAAAGATTACAAGGAGGGGCGGGAGGCACCGTACCGTAACCCTACGTAATATCCTACTGCAGATGGGTCCTCCGGAAGCAAATTTGCGAACCCCCTTTTGAATACTCCTCCTCCCCCAAAAATTTGTGGGTCATTTCTTCCATTTTTTTTCTAAACAATGGGTTCTATTTTTTTAGTAGCAGATTTTTGATTTTTGATGAAAAAAAAAAAAACAACCCACAAAACAACCCTCCGTGCACCCAGGAAACCACCCACAACCCGTATTCTCGGCCCGAGAACAACCGGAGAGCCCGCTGCACGACCAGCATTTTCTTTCCAAGAGAATCATCGTTCGTCTCGTTTCTTGGTCCGACGCTACGGCTACCGGGCCCCAAACCAACCACGAGGAGATTCCATTTGTGGGTCGTGCTCCCTCGAAAGCAGCCCCGCCGAGCGGTACCGCGTGCCGTGCTGGTTCGACACCGATCGCAAACGCCAGCCCGAGGCGGGGTGCGCGGTTCAACGACCGGCGTCCTTGGTCTGCTGCTAGCAGCGGTGCCCGTACAGCAGGGGGAGGACCCCCTCCAGCCGCTCGTCGAAGGCAGCGTCCGAGAACCTCGCCGCGGACCGCCGAGCCCGGTCCCTCATGGCCCGGGCCTCCCCCTCTCCCATGGTCAGGGCCGCGTGCAGGGCGGAGGCGTATTCCTCCGCGGTGGTGGCCAGAAAGCCCGTTGCCGTTGCGGCGTTCGTTGCCGCGTCGCTGCCGTTGGGGCGGAGCGGCAGCACAATGTCCGACCTCGGCCCCCCCGAGTCGTGGGCGATCGTGAGCAGGCCGGCCGCCATCATCTCGACGATCCCGATCCCGAAGTGTTCCTCCCGCATGGTGTGGATGCCGATGCTCGCCGTTGCCATGGAGGCCCGCAGGTCGGCATAGGGCGGGTTGATTGCAAAGTCCACGTGGTCTCCCAGGCCGCGTTCTTCCACGAGGGAGCGGAGGGCTTCGACCCGGCCCCGGTCGGCCTCGTTCCGGCAGCTCCCAATCAGCAGGAGCTTTACCCCCCGTCCTTCCCTGAGCTCCGGGTGGGCCTCGAGCAGGACGGAAAGGGCCTCGATCTGGAGCCCGTGGTCCTTTTCCGGCCGAAACTGCCCGATGGACACAATGGTGTTGTCCCGCCGCGGTGGCTCCTCCTGCGCCCGCGGATCCTCTGCTTCGCCGCCGACCGTACCAGGAACCCGGCACGGCGGGTAGATGATCTCGATGGGGGCCCTCCCAAAGGCCCAGAGGGAGCGGATGTGGTCGTGCGTCCAGGTCGAGTTGACGAGGACCAGGTCCGCCAGCGACCCGGTGAGCCCGTAGGCGAGGGAGAAGGCGTAGTAGTAGGCGAGCCTTGTGCAGGACTTGAGCCGGCGCACGGCCCCCCCGCCCTGGCTCCTGCCCTTTTTCCATTCCCACGCCATCATGTCCGTGGAGATCGTCGGATAGTGCACGTAGGCCAGGATCCGCGCCGGGGGGATTCCCCGGTTCCCGAAGTGGGAGAACCAGGACATCCACCGGACGACGGCAAAGGTAAAGGCGCAGCCCGTKGTGTCGCAAAAGACAAACTCCGTGTCGCTTTCGTTGTCGATTTTGCTTTCGTCGTCCGCAATCGTTCGCAGCAGGGCCCACCTTGCCAGCCTCATCGTCCCCCAGGATTCCATGACCAGGGACAGAAAGGGACGGGGGGCCAGGCAGTCCCTGTGGTCCTCGAGGGAGACGAGGCGGACCTTTTTGGGAATCCTCACGTCAAACCGCCGCTCGGCGTCCGCCCGCAGTTCGGCCTCGTCCGTGGACGGCGGGTCGATCGTGTAGATGACAATCTCGACGGAATCGTCGGGCCCGCTGGTTCCGTCGCCACCGGCATTGCAGCTGCCACCGTCGTTTCCCGGAGTTGTCGTTTCTTTCGTTGCTGCCTCCGCAGTGGTGGGGTTCTGTTGGCAGCCTCGGCTTCCCTCCTGGCTCGGTCCCGGGCTTCCGCACCGGAGGCTCCGGTGCGACCGACACGTCTGCAGGAACCGGACCATCTTCCACAGGACGCGCTCCCCCCCGCCCCCCCCGCTGGCGTAGGGATGGAAAAAGGCGTAGACCACCCTCTTGGGGCGGTCGTCCCCCGGTTTCCGCCGTTGCAATTGCCGCCGGCCCGGAAGGCCCCAGAACCAGCAAAGGGCGGCGGCTAGTAGCCACGCGGCGACGGAGGAAGCGCTCCACGAGAGAGCGGTGGTCTCCGCCGTGGTGGGCATTTTCTCTCTCCCTCTCTCCGAAAATGAGTATGTGTATGTATTGCGACACTCCGCTTACTTTGTTATTCTGTGACTGTTGGAATGGGTTTCTGTTTCTGTTTCTGTTTCTGTTTCGAAGATTGTGATCCTTGACTACTCGTACTGTGTCGGCATCGATTATGATTGTGATGATCGTTGCTTCGATTCATGCAACGATTTTGAGATTGGCTCGGTTAGAGTTTCTTTGAGCATCAAATCAAGTACGATGATTAGGTAAGGTCTACGTCCCGTCGACAACTGACCCCATACTAACATATGTTTGGTATGTAATAAGAATAATCCAAGTATATATGTTTCTAGGATTCTCCGAGCAAAGGAGATTTGGGGGAGAAGAGAGCATTGGATACCGTAAAGAAAAATGAGCCCATATTCGTAGCTTGTAGTAGCTTTCCTACATGTCCGTTCGAACCGTACCGTTTGTTTCCGTGAAAGAGAAGGTTTTTCAAATCTCACACGATACCGGTAGGTTCAATTGAATGTTTTTGAAACACAACACAACACGAGATCACAACACCAAGCCACAGCACGGGACTKCACAACGCATCACAAGACAAGCACAGTATCCGAACTCCCGTGGCGCGCGGCACCACTACCGCTGTTCCACACCACACCGAATGCCGGAGATCAACGGAGGGGAGCGTTGTTGACAGGCCACAGCACCAGCACAGGAGAAATTCCCGTGGCAACCAAGCATGGCATCACCACCAATATCGACAGCTGCTGCTGCTGCCGTTCGCAGCAGGAGCTGCGTCGCGGGCCGGAGGCTCTCCTCCCACCGCCGGCCGAGGTTTCCCACGGCCACCGGCGGTGGTCCGTCCGAACCGTCGTCCCGTTCGCTCTATCTCGCGCCGCTGGGGTGGCGGTCGTCGCTTTCGTTCGGGGGCAGGAACCCAACGACGCGGCGTTGCTCCCAACACTCCATGGCCCCGGTGGGGAACCGGTGGGCCGCACTGGCACCGGCATCGACGGCGACCGCGGTGTGGTGCGGGGACCGGTCTCAGCGGCACTGCTACCACCACTACTCTCGCCAGAAACAGGAACGGCAACAGAAACAGCAACAGCCGATGCGCAAGAACACCCCAGCGGGCGGCACCACGGGCCACGGAATATTCTCCTCGGAGGGGCAAGGGACGCTCCGGCACCACGGCGGTACGTTTTGCTATTGTCTCGCGTCGCCGCTGCGAGGCCATCTTTCCGCACAACACCATCTCTGGTCACCTTGCGGGGTGCGGGAAAATGCTACCACCTTGCACTCGGCGAGAAGCTTTTCCTCGGTTCCGCCAGCGTCTTTGCTCCACCGAAAAGCGGGCATTTACCTTCCAGAGACCTACCCTTTGTTGGGCAATCCGGCAGCGGCGGGGAGGATCGGACGAATCGGGTTTCGCAAGCACAGCAGCAATGGCAATAGCAGCAACAACAGCAACGGCACGAAGGAGAAAGCACCACAATCCACACCGCCACCCACCACCGTAAACCCCTCGGAATCGAACAACAACAAGATACAGGAATTCATGGATTCGACGGTGTCGACGGTTCGGACAAACGTAGGCTCGGCCGAGGCAACCATCAAAAAGGCCGTGGAAGAACTGAGCACGGGGGACCTCCTCTCCGTCTACGGGATCGTCTTTCTCATCGTCCTCATCGGCGTCATGCCCTCCCTCGTCCGCCGGATGCAGTCCTCGGACCACTACGACTCCAAATCGGAGGACCCCCTGTTGGAGCTGGCGCGGATGATCCGGGGGGAGTTTCTGGAGAACGTGAACCGCATCCAGGAAGACATCAGCGAGGCCGACGGCGATGGCGACGGTAGCGACACAGATGCCGGCGACGCCGAGGGCCGCAAGAGGTCCTCGCTGGGCCTCGATCGCATCGTGGCCGATCTCCTGAGGTCGCCGCAGATCCAGGAGGCCGCCACCACGCTGGTCACCAAGGTCCTCCAGTCCCAGCAGTTCAAGGCGGCCTGCGCCCTGCTCCTCCGGGAACTCCTGAGGGACCTCCTGGACGACCCCGACACGCTCGACCAGCTCGTCCACCTGCTGCAGACCGCCATCGCCGACGAGAAGATACGAGAGGCCGCCATCGGCCTGGCCACTGACGTCTTTGGGGACGACCGGGTCCTGGACGAGCTGGTGGTCCTGGTGCAGAGGCTCGGGATGGAGGGCCAGGTCATGGCCGCGACGCAGGCCCTGCTGGTGGAATCGGCCCACAACGCACTCAACGACCCGGAGATCCTGGACCACTCGATGGAGTTCGCGACGGACGTGGTCGGGGACGACGTGGTCCAGCAGACGGCCGGGGAGGCCCTCTACAACACCATGTCCTACGCCTTTAGGCCCGCCCTCTCGGTCTGTGAGTCTCTTGTGTTGTCTTGTCATCTCTTGTCTTGTATTTTGCAATGGAGGCAACTGTTTTTGTTGCGACGCGTGCGATTGTGTTCATCCGGCAAGATTATGGCATTGTTTCCGATCAGAGTCCTCACGCATCGATTCTCTCTTCCGCGTTTGTTTCTTCTTATTCGCTGCAGTCCTGGCGCTAACGGGGGTCGGATTGATTTTCGTCTCCATCTCCGCCTTTCGAAACCTGGCCCAAACTCCCAGCGATGCGGCCGATCGGGCATTTTTGGGTGCCATTGAAACGTACACCTCGCGGTTGTTGAAAGTTCTCTTCCTTCCCCTGGATTTCTTGGTGGCTTGCAAGGACGCGTTGGTGGCCATCGCCTTGTTCCCGTTTCGGTTTCTATCTTCTAGCGCGGCGAGGGCCGGCGACCTAGGGAAGGCGCTGCTCGGGGCCGTCCGGGACTGGCTCTTCTGGCTGGTCCACCTGCCCTTTGAGCTCCTCTCCTCGGTTCTGTCGGCCTCGAGCCACGCCCTTGGTGCCGCCGCCACGAATCTGGTGGACAAGCTCGGAGGATGGCTCCGCGCCGTAGGCGAATCCCTGTTCGGCCTACCGTGCCAGAGGCTGGGAGAGCTCTCGTCGGAGCTGCTCGAACGAGCCACAGATCGATTCGGAGCGATGGGTTCTTCGGCGAGGGAGTGGTTCTCCGCCGTCCCGCTCCGGGCGCTGGAGAGGCTGTCCTCGGAGCTCCTGGAAGCGGCCACGGCCCGGCTCGGCGGGTGGGCATCCGCACTCGGCGAAACGAACGCGGGTGTCAAGCTCCAGGAACTGGCTCGGCTGACGTCCGGCGCCCTGGAACAAACCAGGATTCGCTGGAGGATCCTCAACGAGTTTCTCTCCGACGGTGCCCTTCGCGTCGAAGAGCTCGGATCGAGGGTGGTTGCTTCGCTGGCGGGCATGCATGCGTTGCCCTTTGAAACGCAGAGAAAACAATACTTCGACAAAGCATCGAAGGGATACGAATCTTTGAACCATTCCCTCGCTCGTTTTGCCTTTTGGCTGGAAGACTTGCTGGGCAGAATGGCTGGGATCATTTGAGGAGTAAAAAGGAGCCAGCTAGCTAGTGCCACAATCGCCGTGGGGAGCACTCCTCTTCAGAGAAAAAAAAAGGCCCAGGTTTCGTTTTCCCATACGAGAACAAGTTGAAACAACCCTAAGAAACAGATGGAATCCGAGATCCCGCAACGAGACCTAGAGGACAAGAACCGCCGGGGGACGGTCTTCTCGACCCACGCCTAGATTATCAAAGAACGAGCTTAAAATAGAAACCTCAACCTATGGAACTTCTCAGTTATGGTTTTCGGGAGTTGGAAAATGCAACAGCGGTCGTACTAGAATCGGCATCGTTCGGGTTGGCCGAGAAGCAATACACATCTCGCTCTCCTGCTCTGGATTTTACCAAAAGCTTGCGGGCCGATGCAAATTGCTGTCCTAGGTGCGAATTAGATGCAAACTTTCTTCTTCCAATATCTGTATCCTCGTCCTTCGATCCGGAAGGCGTTCTGCACGATTCAACCAGACAATCCTGCACCGATGGCATACACGATGTATCCCCCGTAACCCATGATGAACATCATTCCGTGCCATTTGTACATGACAAAACCAGAGACCAGCATGAACGCGACAAAAACCGCCAGAAAACCAAAGAGGATCAAGATAGAATCGAGAATATGGTCGTCTTTGAGGCCGTGGTAGGGCTCAAAACCGAGCCCGAGACTTATGTAGAGCATCCAGGGGAGGCCAAGGCCGACCATTATGTTGAACGTATTCGAGCCGAAGGCATTCGATACTGCTTGGTTCCCGAACCCGTTTTCAGCTGCTACCTTTGATGCAACATAATTGGGAAGCGATGTGCCTTGAAAATAGCGAACCGCAGCGCAAAAACGAGTGAGTAAGTGACGATGAGATTGATACTAATTTTGAGGAAAAACAGAATTTTGGAAAAACACAGTATTTTTTTCACTCACCTGCAGCAGAAACTGTAAATCCCATCACGGCATCGGGGATGTTCATCAGCTCACCGAGTGCCTCAAGTGAAGCGACCATGGTGTAACTCCCGAAGATCAACCACACGAGACACGAGAACGTTGACAGGTAGGCTCTTCCGACTGTTGCTGCTACCTCTCCCTCTTCATCGAGCATACGAACATCGGGGATGGTTACTTGTATGAGCAAGCGGAGAGGAAACAATAGGAAAAAGAAGACTGTCTCGAGATTCGTGCTATCCACGCTGAGTTCGATCAAACTCTCGTGACCAGAAGCTCCTTCGAATTCATCGTCCTCGATTTCGTCACTCGAGTTGTCTTTAATCAAGTCTTCAGCGTTTGTGGTACTATTACGTTGCATGAACAACTTTTGTCCGCAGAAAATTCGACGACGAAGTTCGTTAGAAACCAAGAGGGTGCGAATAGCATTTTTGAAAGCATTGTTCCAGTGCATTTTACTTACCTCCATTTTTTCGATAATTTTGTCAAAAATTGGTTTCGATGGAGCCATGAGAAGAAAGTTTCGCTTGCCTTCCACTGGGTTGATCATATTAATAATAAGATGCTTTTCGTCGATTTCGATGGCTGTGAAATGAGGATACTTCAGCCTATGGTGGTTTGGATCACAGCTGTCGGGGACAGACGAAACTTTCAAAGGGGAGATAGTGAACCATCTCAATTGCCATGCATTTTGCCCGAAATACGCCTTGTTGTAGAAGATGGATCTTTGAAATCTGCAATAAAATGAGTGAACTAGCGAATGACATTTATCGTGCCATACAAACGAAGGGGGATGGCAAAGCAAGTCGATACAGTACTTACAGGAAACATGAAATCTCGTTTTTGAAATCGTTGATCTGGACGTCGTGGAGGCTAAAGATTTCGGTTGGTCGCTCAGATGCCCGCACGAGTTTTCGAAGGACTGTATTGTTCATGGAAAATATGGAAGATCGAACTGAATTGGCGAGAGAGGCCCTTCTTGAACTATCAAGTAAATTTTCATCTGACCTGATTGATGCACCATCGTCCGCCGAGGAGGCAATTGCAGGCATATAATATTCAATAGATTCCCAATTTTCTACAGGTTCTTTGGAGAGGTTTTTTTCTTCAATGAGAAAATCCATTTTTCCCGGATGAAGATTCTAAGCGAAAAGATTTAAGTTCAGATCCGTTCGAATAGCATCATACAGCAACAAGTTATATGAAAATATATTCTTGCAGTACACTAATCCTTACCTTCGTAGAAACAGCTGTACCATAAAACTTTTTTGTACTTAAAGAGGCTAGTGTTAAGCGGACCTTTTTCTTCGCTTTTGTCAAGTGGCCAACTATGGCATTGAAGTTGGAACAAACGACCACGTAGAGAATGTATCCACTGAATACCATTGTGGCCTCAGAAAAGGAAATGAAAATATAATTTGGACCGTCCGGATCATCCCCCAATGGTTTGGTGTCCCGAAGAGCTAAGTACAGAAGGATGATTCCGAGTGCGTAGAAGCCGACTTCCCGAGCCAGAATGGTTTTGTCAAGAATCAACTTTCCAGATTTCGATGCAAAAACTGCCCCTGCACAAATGATCAGTTGATTAAAGATTTCGGATCCAACAACAGTGCCCAAGCCCAGAGCAGAGTGGGTCACAAAAAGGGCGACGATAGAAGAAAATAGCTCGGGAGAAGATGCGCCTGCAGCCATTAAAGTAGCACCTGCGATATCTGGTGGAATTTTATAGTGACTTGATATCACATTCAAGGCAGGTACAAGCCTGAAGAACAGAAGGATATGCCACGAGATAAGAAATCAAGGGAGAACAGACACATATGCGCAGAAACGACCCATTTTCAATGGATCTTACCTCTCTTCAGTTACAGTGGCTTGGGACCAGAATGATGCTAGTGCACAAATCCAGAGCAAAGCCCAAACCCACCATGCCGCGGCGGCGTCGTCCTCGATTCCGTCCATTTCAGGTTACTAAGTCTCGTGGTTTAAAACGGTGAATTCAAAACCCGCAAAATCAGTGTCTCGAAAGTATGAAGTGAAGTGTTCAAAAGCAGCACGGCTTTAGTCTCATTGGAGTGGAGGAAAAACTCGTCGTTGCGGTTCGAGATAGTACTCAAACTTGCGTGAGCAGAATTTGATGCCAAGGAAATGATTTGACGTTCTATGAACCATTCGAATAGCCCAAATATTGAGCTTATTTCATTGAAGGTGCTCGGATGCCTAATACATTCGTTACCGTAAGTGGTCCTCAGGAAGTTCGGGAGCACGGCAATGCAGAAAACACCGGAAATCCAGAGTTGTCAAGGTTTGTCGCTAGGATTTCGCCTATCGTGGGGGTATAAGACCATAATGCAACAAAAAATGCAACAGTATAGAATCATGTACAAGTCTACGTACGTACACTTCGGTATTCTCCTACTGACCAGCACAGCAGTATCCAAAACCTCAACTGATGCCTATCAGTTGAGAATAATTACTGACACAATTTTCGACAAGACAATTTCCATAGAATTTCCACAGAAAAAAAAGCAAGTCGTGAAGGTAATTCTCGACAATATCACGTCACGACAATGGTGGGGCCATCTTCTTATCAGCTATTCAACTTGCTCCTCTTGTTAAGGCAATCAAGCAACAAAGCAGTCACAGTTACTACTAG